TTTCATATTTGATTTTTGTAGAATCGTGCATCTTTCAAAACTTTTTTCTCATATCTGAGTTGCATAGCACTGTGCATCTTTCAAATGACTCCTCAGATCTTATGTGCGTATTTTTGGTGAGTTTGGTGCACCAATGAGTTTTGTGATGTTTCTCAAATTGTCTAGGGTATCTATTTAATTAGTTGTTGAAAACATCAAAAGTCATCTTTCTGTTATTGACCTTCGTGTTGAAATTTGGTAGAATCTTTTTACTTTTTCTTTTTAGTCTAAAAATATTTTATAGTATTTAATTTCCTTTCAAGTCTAGGGTTTACATTAATTGCAAAATATTTAGTTTTATTTTAGTTTAGTATCTAGAAAGACTTTCCTTTAATAAAGATTCTCCTTAATTATTTATAAATAGGGATGTACTCTTCTATTTGAATCAATGCAAGAATCAATACAAAGAGTTATCATTCATTCTCTCTTTAATTTCTCTTTCTAGTTTCTTCCATTCCATAACACTTCAGAGATTTCTTGATTATAAAAAGAATTACAATATAGTTTAGTTAGTTTTCGTATACATGTGCTTCAAGCATTAAGCAATAGGTGCCTTTGCAACTGTTACGTTCAGCGGCGGCTCTACAACTTTGAAAAAAAAGCAACTGCCTTAGGCCCCAAAATTTGAGGGGCCTCATTTTTTAAAAATACAATAGGTTATACATATTTATTTTTTTTAAATATCGCGTATAATTTGTAGAAAATATAAATTTTCCATAAAAGAGCAAGGAAGTAATAGAAATTTGACAAATTATTAGTACTATGTCTCAAGAAAGATTAAATAATTGGCTATAATAAACTTCATAAAAAATATATATTCGAATTTAATGCCTCCATTTGGATTTTGCTTTAGGCCACCGATTTATTAGAGCCGCCCCTGGTTACGTTGTTGCACTGCTACTAGATGTTGGTATGACTCTTCGTCGCGAACTCATGCATAAATGAATATTTTGAAGATATTACTCCCTCGGTTTAAAAAAAAATGATCTCTTTTTTTTTAATCTGTTTAAAAAAGAATGACTTATTTTCTTTTTTGACAACACTTTGATATCAGTTTTCCACGTGACATATTTAGGGTCACGAGATTGAAGGGCATTTTGGTGCATTTGACATAACTTTAATTTAGGATCATAATATTGAAAAGTCTTTTTAATTTTCTTAAATTTCGTGTCAAGTCAAACTAGGTTATTCTTTTTTAAACGGATAGAGTATTATTTTTTCTATCCTTTCAATGTCTTACGCTAAATCCTTTTGATTAATTATCCAATTTCTTAATTCTTCAAGTGCGTTCATTGTGATGTTTTATGAAGATTTTGTATGACTTTTTCAAGGATATTATCAAAAAGTTGGGAGGCATTAAATCAAGAACATATTGTAATTGGTTTTGGGGCATTTGGTACCATTTACAAGCGTGTAATGAACGATGACAACGTGTTTGCTTTGAAAAGAATTATTAACATTAAAACATATGATGGACTCTTTTTTGATAAAAATTTATCCGCACTAGATATTTATATTAAACTAGTTTTCAAATATGCGCAATATATGTGTATCTTATGATAATTAGTATAGACGTTTCGAGTGTCCGATACTTACATAGTCCCTCAAATTTGTCACAAATAATCAAGTAGACATCTTACAATGTCAGCTGATGTATTTATACTTGAATGTATTTTTTAATATTTCATGGTCAAGTATTATTATTTTTTAAATATTTCAAAATAAAAATATATATTGTAAATTTAATACCGAACTCAACTGTTTCATGGTCAAATATTCATTTTTTAATTAAAAAAGATATTCCAAATAAGGAAGTATTTTTTATTGCCAAGCAATCCTAAGAATATGAGACATTAGGAAAAACAATATGATAATTTTTTGAAAATAAAGGATGGGGACACATTTTTTACTGAAAAAAAGTGAAATTGTCATCTCATTTATCAAATCAAAAATTCTAATCATATGTTTGGAGTGTCACTACAAGAAAAGTGTGTATTACTTGAGGATTTTTCTAGGGTTTGTATACGGAAATTCGCAGAAAACTTAGTTTCCTGCGGATTTTCCTACCAAAAAGAATCTGATGGTAAAACCTTTCTAGGTAATTATTTCCTACAGATTTCAAAATTCCCAAGTAATTTACCTAGGAATTTTTATTTCGCATGTAAATTACTTGAGAATTTTTTTGCCAAAATTACTTTAAAATTCGAAATTTTTTTGGTAAAAATTAACAAAATAAGAATTTTCTTACCATTTTTTCCTTAAGTAAAGCCGCATGAAGATATTCTAATAATTTTTTAAGAAATTTCTTGTAAGCAAAAATATTAATTATTATCTCCTATTTAATTATTTAATTTATTAAACCCCATACACATATACACCACTTCTTGAATACTTGTATTTAATCCAATTTTCCACATATACACCTCTTCTTGATTACTTGTATTTAATACAATTTTCCACCTATATTAAATGCACTACTTAATCCCAACCTATACTAATTGATACATTCTCACAATAATGTAAGTCATAACATTATATATGGAAAATTTTTACTGTATTCCGTCGATGTGGTACAACTAGTACTACTGTCATTATACTAATTTTTAGTGTTTTTCTCTGATTTGATTAATTTTTAAAGCTAAATTTAATTAAACTAGTTGAGTATTATAACATAATTTTAATATTTATAAATTACACAAAAAAGAACTATAAAGTCATCTCATATTAATATGATAACGAAATATATGTTGAATATTGGCTAAAGTTCATGTGATTTAACTCTTAAAAGATGAAACATGAAAATTATTTATATATTTAAAATAAATCACTACCACAAAACATATCATGAAAATTTTATGTTTACACTTTCTATGATATAATATCCATAACTAAGCATATTAAATGTAGACAAAATTTAAATTATACATACAAAGTTCTTATAAATAAATAATTAAAAATATAAATATATTTATAACTTTAATGTGGAAGGAAGTTATAATCAATAATTGATAGTATATCTTGTTAGGTATGTGCGGTATTTACAATTTAAATTTATCTTTTAATAATTTTACTTACTTATATATTGGGAAATAAATATTATAGAGAAATTTGATCATTTTTAATATCGGTAAAAAATAATATATCAATTGAATATACAAATAAAAATATTTATTTTTCATTTTATATAATTCTATTAATGAGGGGGTAATTAAACTTCACATTAATAAGGTATATCTTCGATTTTAACATTTTCCTATTAAAATTACTTTTACTAATGTTATTCTAATGTTCTTTTATGTAATTTGTTGATTTTTCAAGTCACAAAATTCCTACGTAAATTCTCAAAAAATAATTTTCAGCTAAATTTCTAGCAAAATATCCCTAAATATTTTCCAAGGTAATAAAATTCTTAGGCATTTCCCTAAATATAAATCCCCAGAAAATTTCGCAACAAATTAATCCCCAAATAATTTTCCAAGTAAAAAAATCCCTAGGTCAATCCCCAATATAAATCCCCAGCAAATTTCACAGCAATTAATCCCCAAATAATTTCCCAAGTAATAAAATTCCTAGATACATCCCCAAATATAAATCCCCAACAAATTTCACAGCAACTACTAATCCCCAAATAATTTCCCAAGTAATAAAATCCCGAGATAAATTTTCACCAAAATATCTCCAGTAAAATCTGTAGGATGGATTACCTAGGGATTTTTCTATGGAATAAAAAAATGATTTTAAAATATTTTTTTGGTTCATGTACTTGCGGATTTAGCTAGAGATAGTGTACTTACCATTACTTTTCCCCAGGTAATATCGCAAGTTTGTGTTTGGCGCAAAATGGCGCCAAATTTACCTGCGGAATTTGTTGGGAATATACAGTTCGTAGGTAATATATTCTAATATTGAGGAATTTAAAAATTTTGCAAGAAAATCCGCATGAAATAGTTGCGAAACTTTTTCCTAGGAAAAATCCCCATGTAATACACAGTTTTCTTGTAGTGTGTCCCATCTTTAAAATAAATCAAATTCTTGCTTGATTCCTCAGTTGAAAAGGTTTCTTTTCCTTTTATATGAAATGGATGTTTTATTTTAAAAATATATGTAAAAGGAAAATGACTGAGTTTCCGAAAAATCGATTAAACTTATGATTTAAGTGAAATCGAATTTCCAAAAGAACAGAGTCGCCACTTAATTTTTTAGTAAAAAAAATATCAAGAAAAAACTTAAAGTTTTTCAAAAGATTTAAACAGATAAAATCAATTGAAAATAAAAGGGTTCATAGTTCAATGTACATTCCGAGAAGGTGTTAGGCCCTTGGAATGCCCGCTAACACGCGATTGACAGGCAATATGACCAAAATGATTCTGACTAATTTAAAAAAAATTTGACTAAGTAAAAGAACTCATTTTATTTTGACTTGTTTTGAAATTTTAACTAAATAAAAGAATTCATCACGACTTTGACTAATCTTGAAATTTCAACTAAGTAAAATAACTCATTTATATTAACTATATTTTATTTTTTTGAAATTGTAACTTAGTAAAAGAACTAATCTATCTTAACTATTTTTGAAATTTTAACTAAGTAAAGAAACTCATTTATTTCTTATTTATTTATTACTATCATTTTCTAATTAATTATTCTTAAGGGAAAATAAACTAAGGGGGGATTTCTAAAGGGGAATAGTTTATGTTGACAAGACTAATATTAGCATAAAACTAAGTAATAAAATATATATACTTTAATTTGAGTATACAGGTAAAAAGTGAAATGACTATCTTTGGTAATTTAATTAAATTAAACCATAACTTAAAAGTTAGGAAATTCACATGAACAATATAAGCATTCAAAACTTGATAAAGAAGGTGTCCAAGATAGACCCCATTTGGGCCCAAAATCAGATTTTGTTCGCCTGGATTGATTTTTGGGTTTCTATTACTGCTACTAAATTAAAGGACATGGGGTTTGGCCCATTTCCTTCTTTTAATCTTTGCAAGCCTGTCAGGTTTACACTTTGTCCACTTTCATTTTCCAACGCCGTAGATTTCAGCCTCCATTTCAACTTTGAAGCGACCAACTCAAAAGAAAATATTGGATATGTGCTCAACAAGATAATGCCAAGATTGAGTCCGATGATAGACTCGGGCAGATTTCATACATAGAGAAATAATAAGGAAACATTAGTATCAACTTCACCAAAGCGATTTAATAAACTAATACATGGATTATGACTTGAATGGCAGACATACAATTTAATCATTAAAGCAAACAAAACAGTAATGAGAGAAAGCACAAGATAGAATTGAGATCACTTAAGCTTCGATTCCAAGAAATAAAGAAAAACTAAATAAATAAAATAAAAATAATAATAATAATAATAAATAAATAAAATAAAGATAAATAAATAAAAGTGAAACAACAACACCTAATTGATACAATCTCAAAGGGGCTGGAATGATTCAGAAGCTTAATTACTGGAAACTAAACTTAAATAAATTCAAATTACGTTAAAGAGAGAAAATTATATCAAAACCACCATATGCAGTCAAAACTAAACTCTATGCAGTTAACCCACATCTTCCTAGGATTTAATTAAAATGGGGAAGTAACCTACAACAGTAAATAAGGAGAAATGGGTCCAAAAGACAACAACAAATAAGGAGAAATGGGTCCAAAAGACAACAACAAATAATTACAACCAAGAACTCTTTGAAGCCTAAAAGATGACCAAGAAACAAGAACAGGCTACGGAGAAACATGTAGTTAAAGGCATCAAAGAAACGAGAAGAAAAGCAGCAAACACAAATAACTTGATATCTCATTGTGAACAAGACTTAACAGATGGGAAAAGAAGGAGATAAGATGAACCAAAATCTTGAATCTTAAATTTGTATGGGTAATGTCACAACCTGTTGTTAATCAGTAAGATGCATTTAACTGAGTTCAATTATCAAAACGACAAACTTATACCACCATCACGCATTGATTTCGAAACTATTTCGGCCCAGACGTATTGAACATTTTAAATAAAATCAGAAAATTAAACACAAACGACTTGCTATATAATCACAAATCAAGGAAAAATTTCAGCATACTAGATTAATTATCTCAGAAATAAGCGAGGAAGAAAAGCATCATAAAAGAAAAAAAGTTTTACCTCTTGTCGAGCAGGAACTGAGACAGGACGAGCTCAGAGTGTTCTATTCCACCACCAACAACTTAAAGGGTTCCAATGAACAGCGGGAGGGTCATGTTTGGAAGAAGGAGATGAAAACGGAATGCTTTTTAAAATGTTCGTTGATTTTAGTCTATTTCAGACTCAAAGGACACTTATGTATTTCACTATATCCTATCCCTTTTCTTCACTCAAATTTTCCAGCCTTTCTTTTCAACTCTTTCCACCTTTTTAAAAAAAAATAAAAAATCCTCCTCTCCACAGTGAATCCAAAACAATTATATAGAAGGGAAAACTAGGTTTTGGAAAGGGAGAAACGGATGAAAATTCGGGTTCAAGGCCCATTCGAAAATTCAAATTCAAAATTCTTTCACTATTTCGGTTGAACACATTTTCTTTGAGATTTTTACTCATTTCGAAAGGGGAAAGGAGGAAAGAGGCGTGCCTGCTGCGATATTCGTTCGAATTGAAAGGGACGCGAGTTTCTTGCTGGATCTCGCGATTTTGGGCTTCGATTTGCTACTGGACTCGCAATTTTCTGGCTTCGCTGGTTCTGTTTGCTGCGTTATTTTGAAGAAGAAGAAGAAGAAACGAAGAGTATCGATGTGGGGTCTCTTCTGTATGTTGTCGTATTTTCTGGAAAAAAAGGGCTGAAACGTATGTAATTGTATTGTATGTTTGGATTGTTGTATGTTATTTGGGCTGCTGGGTTGGGTTTCTTTTGGTATTGGTGGGTGAATTGGTTTGAAGGAAGAGTAAATAGGGTCGGTTGGGCAGAATACAAAGGCCCAAAAATTTGGTTTTTTGGTGGGTTGAAGGGAAAGTGTGGAGATAACTACAATTGAAATTACAAAGGATTAAAATCATAACCAATTGAGTTTAAAATTTTTAGCCAAATTGAAATTAATCGGTGAATTCGGCTAGCACTCAAACAAGATAAATTAATATTGATTAATTAACGAGCTTCTTAATTTTAATGAAATAAAATAATTAGCCTAATGAACTAATGACTCAAATTATAAACTACTAATTTAGACAAAATTAATTTAATAAAGTATTTAAGTAAAACTAAAATCTTTTTGAGACTATTTTTGAATATTTATAAAAAATGTACCAATTATATACGTAACACATATATTATTTAAAAATTATAAATAAGTGATAAACTATTTAAAATGACTTGAAAATATTTTTATTTTATTTTATATATATATATTTTTAATTTTCTAAAACTAAATATTCGAAATCGTTTGAAATTAAAGAAGCTCGATGATTAATCTATATTGTGGAGGTACAAAATTGGGTGTCAATAACTGTCCCTCATTTTACTTGGATTGATCTAAGAAATTCGAGGAAAATGAAAGTGAAAAATCCAATTTTGACTGACCACACCTTCATCTTATGAAAAAGGGTTTTGGTATGGACTTTAGGAGTTATAGCCGAGCCCTGAAAATGGATTTCCTACATAACTCAGGCTATATGAGAATTCAGGCCACTTGTAGTTCGATACTCTTGATTTAGCACACGATTATGAAAGAATTCATAAGTCATCCCGATATCGAATTATGAAAAGATCAAAACGCTCGAGAATAGGATTTAAGGGAGAATGTTGGAACACAACCAAGTTTTTAACAATGATCCCGCCTACATATCCCTCAACTCATGGAATCAGGCTACTTGTAGTTTGACTCTATTGGTTGAAAAGAAAATCTATTACGCAAGATATCCTTTGGTTCTGGAGGAGTGACAAGTAAGTCGAGTATGAAAAAGAGGCTTGTAACCTCTTAGCCATGAATGTGGTGCACTTCACACCCATAATTAAGAACTTATACGGACATAATTTCCAAAGCTCTTGGTGCATTGCCACTGAGATTGGAAAGTTGCTTCCGGTAGAGACCAAAAAATTTTCGGATGCTAAACTGAAACCGACAAACCCAAAGAAAACCCACATGCCTTCTGGTAGGGGTGTGGCTTGATTGTGGTGGAAGTTGTTCCTCTGCTCGCGTCCTAAGAGTTTGATACTTCTCTTTGGACTATGTCTCAGTTCGCTGCTAAGAAAAAGTTCCACGTTGTGCTGCATCCTTTTTGATGTCGTCCGCACTTGTGGTTTGTTTTGGAGATTCATCCTTTCGGATGCTCTCGTCAAAGACTGAGATAAAACTCATTAGCATAAAAATGCAATTGAAATGGGAGACAATGTCTTTTACCGTGTTGACACTTAATTGTTCTCCTTGAACATTTGACGTCAACTCTATCGGGTTCGACGTGAAGCAAATAAAGTGTGTGTCTCATATTTGCAATATAATCTTCAATGTACTCTTTATTTGATGTCAAAGTAATAAAAATAAGCTGATGTAATATGTTGATAGTTCTCTTGATGTTGTTTTTGCAAAGAAGAATGATGCAGTCGATATTAATTTTCTTGTGATGAGTAAATCTTTTCTTGTGATGCATAACTCCTTCTCTTGCTATGCATGAATCCTTCTCTTGCGATGTAGGAATTTCTTTCCTGCGATGCATGAATCTTTTCCCGCGGTGCATGAATCTTCTCTTGCAATGCATGAATCTCTTTTCTCACGATGCATGAATCTTCTCTTGCGATACATAAATCTTTTTTTTCGCGATGCATGAATCTTCTCTTGCGATGCATGAATCTCTTTTCTCGCGATGCATGAATCATTTTCCCGCGATGCATGAATCTTCTCTTGCAATGCATGAATCTCTTTTCCAGCGATGCATGAACCTTTTTCCCGCGATGCATGAATCTTCTCTTGCAATGCATGAATCTCTTTTCCCGCAATGCGTGAACCTTTTTCCCGCGATGCATGAATCTTCTCTTGCAATGCATGAATCTCCTTTCTCGCGATGCATGAACCTCTTTTCTAATGATGTCATGCCTGGTACCGAATGAAGATAATGTTTCACCAGACAACATATGTGATCTTTCGGGTATCTTTCGGGTGGCGATATCGTCTGAATCGATAATACAATAAAAATGACCATCGGAGTAGTGGAATCATCTCATTTGACAATATGATATAAATGACTCTCCGGGTAGTGATATCGTCTCATTCGACAATATAAATAAAAATAACCCTCAGAGTAGTGGTATCATCTCATTTGACAATACGATATAAATGACTCTCCGGGTTGTAATATTATCATATCTGATAATATAACGCAGATAAACGTCTTCTAGGTATCTCTAGTTGCTGGGAAATAATAATATTGCTCTCTTCGTGGTTTTCATTTGTCCCATCTCTGAACATAGTTGCACGTTCATCATGGACTTCGCCTAGTTGGGAATTGAATGAAATAATGTTATTCATATTCCAAAATCTTTGATATAAACCGCATAAAATATTTCCTGCATCCACAGAAAATTGTCAATTTTGGGGAGCTCTTTGCCCCTTTGACTTCTCCATATTCATTAAATGGTGGAATATGTTGATCTTGAGGCAAGCTTATAGACCTGTGTCCACAGAAAAATTGTTAGTTTTTTTTTAAAAAAAAAAATGAACTGATCTGTGTCGATCTCTTCGGTTGTTTGCTCGTTGTCTTGCTATCTTCGGTTGATTTATCCGATCTCCCGTTTCTTGATAGATAAGACAAAACATTTTTTATGTAAATATAATTGAAACATGAAGAAAAAGTTTTTAAGGAAAATAGATTTTCAAAAGTAATGTTTAGAAAAAGTCACTGCCAAGTGTCATGTCACGTCAAGTTTAATGAACGTCATTCAGAGTTGGTGTTTTGAGATCTGTGTGATTACTTGTTGGGAAGTATTCAAAGTTGTTCTAACTTCCGATGAACCTTGTTGAAATTTTGAGGCCATCCTCAAAATTTCTGTCTCAGTTAACTATCTTGGCTTATCTTTAACCATCGGTGAGCAAATCATAGAATTTTTGAGATCCTCTTAAAATTCTGTCACAATTGCAGTTATCAATGCATTCTTAGTCTTGACTTGTTGAAGAAATCTCCTTCTTGAGAATTTTTGAGTCCCTCTCAAAAATTTTGTCCCAGTTTCTATTGTAAAGGAAATAGAAATCTTACGGGAGATATGATCGAGCCCTTGTGGCGCCTACGTATCCCGTTGAGGCAGGAATCAGGTCAAACGTAGTTCCCCCTCTCAAGGATTAACAAAAATAAGAAATGTACAAAGAAATCGACCGAGGCCGACATAGGCCGCCCACGTATCTCATTCTTAAGAATTCAGGTCAGACGTAGTTCATTTACAAAGAAGTATAAAAAGGGAGAAAGGGGTGACCGAGGCCGACATAGGCCGCCTTAGGGCTGGGCAAAAACACCGAAAAACTGAAATACCGAACCGAACCGAACTATTTCGGTTTTGATATTTCGGTATTTCGGTTTTTGGTTCGGTATTCGGTGTATGTTTTTGTATTTTTTGGTATTTCGGTTCGATTATCGGTATGTAATTTTTGTGTTATTCGGTATTTCGGTTTACTGAAATATATTATATTAAATAATAAATATTATATTTTTAATTAAATTAGGTCAAAACTCTTTAAACCTTTTGGTCTTTTCAATTTTTTTACTTTACTAAATTCTAACTTTCTAAGCTTTAGGCTTTAGCAGCAGCCAGCAGCCGCACAACCAGCAACAGCCGGCGACCAGCAGCAGACGACAACCAGCAAGTCAGCAACCGCCAGTTCCGTCGACCAGCAGCACCAGCCGCCAGTCCTGTCGACCAACAGCACACACAGCAGTAGCAACCGCCAGCCACCAGCCCCAGTCGACCAGCAGGGCTCAGGCAGCCGCAGCACCACGCACAGCAGCAGCCGGCTACCGGCAGGCTACAACCATCAGATTGGAGGTATTTTTTTCTTATAAATATATAAAAATAATTTTAAGTTTTTAACTTGCATTTAGTCAATTACTTGAGAATATTTTAGTGCATTTGGATTTTGATCTATCCATTAAAATAAACTAATAAAGATTTCAGATTTTTATATTTTTAATTTTTATATTTAATCTTTATTTTTTTATTTTGATTTGCTCATTTATATAATTGTAATATTGTATTTTCTAATTTCTAGCAAAGGGTCAAATCTTAGACAAAAAAAAAAGAGCAAAAGTAATAAAGAAAAAGAAACCACAATGAAAAAATGCATCCAATTATCATTTTCTTTTCCTTATTTGCTCCTTAATATTCTAAGTGTAAATTCATTGTGAAATGGTTTTTTTTATTATATAGATGGCTGAACAAAATCAATCAAATGTGGGTGTGGCTAATCAAAGTCGAATAAGTATGGCTGATTCTACGGATTATACACCTACTACTAGCCATGATGCCTCAATTGGCACAGAGGAAACAAAAAAAAGAAAAGAAATGGTTCCTAGGTCTACTGTTTGGCAACACTTCAAAAAAAAAATTGAAAATGATTTATTAGTTAAAGCAAAGTGTTACATTGTAAACAAAGCTATGCTGCTAATACAACTAGAAATGGAACAAGTGGACTGAGACAACATTTGACTAACCGATGTAAAGTGTATAAGCCCCCGCCTGTTGCACCTGGCATTCAAAAATTGTTAAATATTCAAAGTAACAATTCTTCGATAGAGACTTGGAAATTTGAGCAAGAGGTATGTAGGAGAGCTCTAGTTGAGATGATAATTTTGGATGAGCTACCTTTTAGTTTTGTTGAAAAAGAAGGCTTTAAAAAGTTTATGAGTAAAGTTCAACCTTTGTTTCGGATTCCTTCTCATAGAACTATAACAAGGGATTCTTATGAAGTTTATGGTGAATTGAGAATGAATTTGAAAATGCCTTTTAGAGAAATACAACCAAGAATTTGTCTCACAACAGACACATGGACCTCGGTGCAAAGAATCAATTATATGTGTTTGACTGCTCACTTTATTGATAGGAATTGGGTGCTTCATAAAATAATATTGAATTTTTGTCCTATCACTAGTCATAAAGGTGAGCATTTGGCTGAGTGTATTAGTAATTGTTTACTTGATTGGAACTTGGACAATGTCTTTACTGTTACGGTTGATAATGCCTCTTCAAATGATGTGGCGGTTTTAGAGTTGTCCAAAAAATTAGATATGTGGGGAACTAATATGATGGAAGGTAAGCATCTCCATGTGAGATGTATGGCTCACATACTTAATTTAATTGTGCAAGATGGTTTGAAAGAAATTGGTCCTTCTATCAAACGGGTGAGACAAATGGTGAAATCTGTTAGATCGTCTTCTACAAGGACAAGAAACTTCTTGAAATGTGTTGAAATGCAAAAAATTGAATGTGATAAAATGTTGTCTTTAGATGTGCCTACTAGGTGGAATTCCACATATTTGATGTTGGACACGGCAGAAAAATTTGAAAAGGCTTTTGAGAGGTTTGATCTTTATGATGGTAATTTTAATTCTTTTCTTGCTACTGATATTTGTGAAGATGGAAGTATTGCAAGTTCAATTCAATATGAGGATTGGGCTAATGTGAGGAATATCACAAAGTTTCTTGAAAAATTTTATGAGTTCACATTGAAAGTTTCAGGTTCACGGTATGTTACTTGTAATGTTCATTTTGAGGATATATGTGAGCTTGATGCATACTTGAAAGTATGTATGACAAGTGATGATGTTGATTTGAGTAAAATGGCTTCGGGGATGAAAGAAAAGTTCAAGAAATATTGGGGTACTCCTGAAAAGATGAACAAAATGTTTTTTATTGCTTCTGTTTTGGATCCTCGCAATAAATTTATGTATGTTAGTTTTGCTCTTGAAGAATTACTTGGGGAAGAAAAGGGACAGATAGTGAACAATGAAGTAAATGCTTACTTAAAGAATTTGTTTGCGATCTATGTAAGTAAGTATGCAAAAGGTTCTAAAAATCAATCATCTTCATCTGACTCCTCTGATTCATCTACTTATGGTCTTTCTCAAAATGTGAAAACAAATTCTTTGAGAACTAAGTTTTACATGAAAAAACAAAAGGAAGATTTTGGAAGTTTAGGTGTTAAATCTGAGTTGGACAGATATCTTCTTGAAGACCAAGAGCCTGAATCTGAGGACTTTGATATTTTGATTTGGTGGAAAGTTAATTCTCCTAGATTTCCTATACTTTCACAGTTAGCTCGAGATGTATTGGCTATTCCTATGTCGAGTGTGGCATCGGAATGTGCATTTAGCACGGGTGATCGTATTCTTGATCCCTTTAGAAGTTCATTGACTCCCAAATTTGTGCAATGCCTTATTTGTGTTCAAGATTGGCTTAGACAAGAAACTAAGCCTATTTGTGTTGAAGAAAGTTTGGAGTTTCTTGAAAAAATTGAACTTGGTAAGACTTTTTATTTTTTATTTGTTTTTGGAAAAAATAAAAGACTTATTGTGTTGTATGACATATTTGATTTTCTTATTTATAGAGATGACAAATAGTGGAAGAAACTCTTCCATTGTTGATCTATGATTGGCTTGCAAGTCTCAAGTATTTAATAGTGGTGAGTTTAATACGTCATTTATTTAATCATATCATTTTTTTTAATCTTAAAAGTAGTATTCTAACATTTAATTTTATTTTAAAAGGTCCAAAGTCGAGACAATGAAGAAAGGTGTAAAGTACCAAGTTTTGTTAGTGTTTTGGTAATTTTGTTGGCACTTGAGACTTCAAAGTGGTCTCATGGAAGAAAGTCAAGAAACTACATTGTTTCTCATTATTGTTATTTGTTATTGTTGGCACTTGAAACTTGAAAATGGTCTCATGGAAGAGGCTACATTGTTTGTTGTTTGTTATTGTTGACACTTGAAACTTGAAGGTGGTCTCATGGAAGAGGCTACATTGTTTGTTGTTTGTTATTGTTGACACTTGAAACTTGAAGGTGGTCTCATGGAAGAGGCTACATTGTTTGTTGCTCATTATTGTTGTTTGTTATTGTTGGCACTTGAAACTTGAAAGTGGTCTCATGAAAACTACATTGGTGCTTTATTGTTACTTGTTAGATTGTTATTGTGTTGTGTAATGGCATGATCAATTGATTATTGTATTTGTGAAGTGTAGTCAAGTTTATTTACTTGTTAAATTGTTACTTGTTACTTGTTTGTGCCTTTTGGCCTATTTGATAGTGTCTTTTTGGCCTAAAACCGCCACATCATTTCGTATTATTCTAAGGATTCATTCATTTTGATTCGATTTTTGAGGGGGATAAAAATGGATTTAAATGTTTCCTTAGGAAATTAAAGGTTGATTGTTTAATTGAGTTGCCCTACATTCATTGAGTAAAACTATGGTATTTTATAATAATGTTAAAGAGATTTGTATCACAACTCTTTGCCTATTTGTGTAATTGTGTGTTACTTTTTGAAAGAAAAAAAAGAACAATGATAACAACAAGTGTGGAACTTGAAAGTTGAAACTACTCACAAGGCTTTTTTAGTAGTAGTTAATTTAAATTTATAATTTATTGGCTTTTACACTTTTAGTAGTATTTTAATTATAATTTATTAACAAGGGCAAATTTCAATGATAATTGATAACGGCAGTTTCGTAGTTAGTACTTTTCATCATACAATAATTTAAAAAATAGAGTAAAATAAGTAAAAAGATATAAATATAAATAGGCGAAATGGTCTGGTGAACCCTTATGTTTGTAGCAATTTGTACTTTGGACCATTCTACTTAATCTTTTGTCAATTGACCCCTTAAAATCAATTAAAACGAGACTTTTAAACCCCTCCAACCATGTGTGTAGCTCACTCTCCTTTATATAAATGACATGTCATATCCATGTCAGATATATTAATGTCATGTCATAATCATTTCATAACTATTTTTTAAAATTATTAATCAAAATTATTTAACAAAAGATAAAATAATAAAAATTTAATTTATTCTTTAGAGTATTATATCACCATTTTCTGTTCAACTTTTTCGTGAGCTTCATTACCCCGATTTCATGTTTTGTATTTTCATATGTTTTTATGTGTTTTGTTTGATCTATTGATATGTTTGTTTAATGAGCGGAAACAATGGTGGAGCTTTTGGCGAGCTATAATGGAAAAAATTAAAACTTCATACATCCAATTCTCCCCATTTCAGGGTCAAAATCTACGAAGAAAGTCATCATTGCCGTCGTTGCCACTTTTGCCGGCGAAATCGCATATACTATCACCCTCACTTGTTTAGATCTCCGCCGCACACCATCACCATCTTCCTATCCTCCTCCAACCTCCACAAAACTAACAACCTAAGTCATCGCACCACCAGATCTGGCCGAAAAATCTCTTTGCTGCCATGACCTCGCACCCTCACCCACCTTGTTCTCCTCTACATTGACCAGTGCCGCCTCTCTCTTTCTCACGCCACTGTGAAACAGTGGTCTCCGGCGTACACCACCAACATCGCTTCTCTTTCACTCCACTGTGATTCAGTGCTCCGACGAGTACCACCAGCGCCGCTTTCTTCCTCTGCCCACAAATTACTCTCAGATTAGTTAGGATAAACAAGCCGCACTACCTGCAAAAATAGGTCAGGTATAAGAACAATGAAAGAACATTTAACCACTGTTTGAAACTGTTCATTTTTTATCAAAGTAGCAGCACCAGCAGTTATAGCTTCCACTCTTGCGTCATCATTTTATCTTGGTCTCCAAAAGCAAGGATCTGCACAGCAGAAGCCACCATTCTAAGTATTGTGTACAAAGTCCTTGGGAAAAAATACCTTCCCCTTAATTGCATTAATAATGTGAATCAATGGATTTAAGTTATGCCCAAGATCTGGTAAATTGATGTTAATAGATTGTGAAGAAGGAAAAAAAAGGTTGGGTTTGGGATGAAAATGGCCGAAAAGGATGGGATAGTGGGCGAAGAAGAAGGAATTTTTAATTAATTGTTTTTTAAAAATTTATTTCTTTTATAATTTCAATATTTTTTAACCCGAAAATGTCATTCACTCGCCTTAAGAGCGTGTAGTTACACACTTTTGCCAACTCAGACATTCTAATGTCACATAAGCCTGGTCAATGGTCAAAGGGATTTATTAAATTGTATTTTATTGAGTTTAAGGGCTCAGTTGACAAATGATTAAGTAAGAGGATTCAAAATACAAACTGATATAAGTAAAAGGGTTCTTTAGACCATTTTGCCTTAAATAAAATAAACAAAAAAATTACAAAATTTTAAAAAGCCCACTAAGCAGGCCCATAATAAAAAAATCAAACTAATAAAAACCGAACCGAAATAACATAAACCGAACCGAACCGAATTATTTCGGTTCGGTATTCGGTACACGTTGTATAAAAACCGAAAATCGAAAAAAAAAACCGAAACCAAACCAAAATACCGAATGTCCAGCCCTAGGCCACCTACGTATCTCATTCTTAAGAATTCAGGTCAGACGTAGTTCATTACAAAGAGATAAATTTTTGAACAAAACGATTACAAGTGAATAGTATGATTACAAGGAAATGATAGAAAATACGAACTGAAACTTCACACGTAATATCTCTTGACAGTATCTGAGTTGATCGGTTTCAGCCATTCGATGCCATCCATCTCCGACAGGACTAAGGCACCTCCAGATAACACTTTGCGAACCATGTAGGGTCCTTGCCAATTTGGTGCAAATTTCCCTTTATACTCATCTTGATGAGGGAAAATGTGTTTGAGAACTAACTGACCAATTCCGAATATTCTGGCTCTTACTTTCTTGTGGAAAGCACAGATCATTCTCTGTCGATACAGTTGTCCTTGACAAACAACAACCATTCTCTTCTCATCAATCAATGTTAACTGATCAATCCGCTTGTGAACTCATTCAGCATCACTCAATTCAGCTTCTTGGATGATTCTTAATAAGGTTATTTCAACTTCCGCATGTATAACTGCTTATGTTCCATATACTAACAAATATGGAGTAGCTCCAACTGATGTCCTGACAGTCGTTCGGTAACCCAACAAATAATATGGCAACATCTCGTGCCAACCTCTGCAATTATCAATCATTTTCCTTAAGATCTTCTTTATGTTCTTGTTGGCAGCTTCTACCGCTCCATTCATTTGGGGACGATAGGCGGTTGAGTTCTGGTGAGTAATCTTGAATTGTTCACATATTTCTCTAATCAAGTGACTGTTGAGATTCATTTCATTATCAGTAATGATGGATTCTGGCACTCCAAACCTATATATCAAATTATTGCGAACAAAATCGGCTACAACTTTCTTGGTCACCGACTTGTACGAAGCTGCTTCCACCCACTTGATGAAGTAGCCAATGGTAACCAAAATGAATCTATGTCCGTTATAGGCGGCTGGCTCTATTGGGCCAATGACATCCATGCCCCAAGCTACAAACGGCCAAGACGAACTCATAACATTGAGTTCGTGAGGCGGCACTCGAATCAAATCTCCGTGCACTTGACATTTATGACATTTCTGCACAAACTTGCAACAATCATGTTCCATAGTCATCCAAAAATACCCGGCTCGAAGGACCTTCCTCGACAAAGTGAGTCCATTCATATGAGTACCACAAACTCCGGCATGTATTTGTTCCAGAAGCTTCGCAGCTTCACTAGCATCAACACATCTGTGAAGATCTAAATCTGGAGTCCTCCTGTAAAAGACTTCCCCACTTGCAAAGAAATTGAGGGTCATCGGGCGTATCGACTTCTTCTGGTTGAACGTTGCATTCTCAGGATAAGTCCCGTCCTCTAAATACTTCTTGATGTCAAAATACCACGGCAAGCCATCTGGTTCCGCTTCGACGTATGAACAATGAACAGGTTGTTCTTTTACCTCTATATTCACTGGATCAATATAACTTGTATCAGGATGCTTAATCATTGATGCGATGGTGGCAAGAGCATCGGCCAACTCATTTTGTGTCCTGGGAGTGTGTCTGAACTCAATCTTGCGAAATCTCTTGCACAACTTCTGTATATACCGCACATACGGTGTGATCTTTGGGTTTTTCACAGCCTATTCCCCTTGAACCTGATGAATCAGCAAATCTGAATCTCCAATAACCAGCAACTCGTGGACATTCATATCAATTGTCATCTTCAGACCGAGGATGCAAGCTTCATACTCAGCCATGTTGTTCGTGCATTCAAATTGGAGTTTAGCCGCCATAGGATGGTGCTAACCGGTTTCTGACACTAAGACCGCTCCGATTCCTTTTCCTTGATGATTCGCTGATCCATCAAAGAATACTCTCCAACCAGGGTATGCCTCAGAAATATCTTCACCCACAAATGTTATTTCTTCATCGGGAAAATAAGTCTTGAGCGGGTCATACTCTTCATCAACTGGATTCTCTGCAAGGTGATCGGCTAAGGCTTGTGTTTTTATTGCTTTCTGGGTCACATACACAATATCAAACTCACTCAAAAGCATTTGTCATTTAGCCAACTTCCCGGTCGACATTGCTTTCTGGAAAATATACTTCAACGGGTCCATCCTGGAAATAAGGTATGTGGTATAAGAAGACAAATAATGTCTTAATTTCTGAGCAATCCAGGTCAAAGCACAACATGTTCTCTCCAAAATAGTATAACGAGCCTCATATGGAGTGAACTTTTTGCTCAAGTAATAAATGGCTCGCTCTTTCTTCCCAGTTTCGTCATGTTGACCAAGAACGCATCCCAATGCTTTATCTGAGACCGACAGATATAGCAATAACGGACTCCCTTCTCGCAGAGGAACCAACAACGACGGATTGGACAAATAGTTCTTGGTGACATTAGAAGCAGTTTGACATTCTCCGGTCCACTTGGTCGAGACATCTTTTTTCAACAGCTTGAAAATGGGCTCACACACCACAGTGGATTGAGCTATAAATCGACTGATATAGTTCAACCTTCCTAAAAAACTCATCACCTCTTTCTTGGTCTTCGGAGGGGGTAATTCTTGGATCGCCTTGATCTTGGAAGAGTTAAACTCAATGCCCCTTCTGCTGACTATAAATCCCAACAACTTGCCAGCTGACACTCCAAAAGCACATTTGGCGAGATTTAATTTCAAATTGTATCGGCGTAGACGATCAAAAAATTTCCTCAAGTAAGTCAAGTGATCCGAACTCTCGCGGGACTTGATTATGACATCATCTACATACACTTCGAACTCTTTGTGAATCATATCGTGAAAGATGGTTGTCATGGCCCTCATATAAGTAGCACCGGCATTTTTGAGACCAAACGGCATCACCCGATAATGATATACACCCCAAGGCGTGATGAAAGTTGTCTTTTCTACATCTTCTTCATCTATCAGGATCTGGTGGTAACCCGCATAACAATCCACAAATGACTGCATCTCATGCTTAGCACAGTTATCAATGAGAATGTGAATATTTGGTAATGGAAAATTATCTTTCGGGCTAGCTTTGTTGAGATCTCTGTAGTCAACACAAATTCTTATTTTTCCGTCTTTCTTGGCAACCGGAACAACGTTAGCTAACCAAGTTGGATATTGCGTCACTTCCACTACTTGGGAGTCGATCTGCTTTGTAATCTCCTCTTTGATCTTCAAACTCAACTCAGGCTTGAACTTTCGAGTCTTTTGTTTTACTGGACTGAAATCTGGATTAATCGGCAACTTGTGGGACACCATATTCGTACTCAGCCCTGGCATATCTCTATAAGACAAGGCAAACACATCAATGTATTCTCTGAGCAAACGAACCAGGTCACTTCTTTGAGCTTCAATCAGATGGACACTGATTCTGACTTCTTTGACACATTCATCATCCCCGAGATTCACAGTTTCAGTTTCTTCGAGATTTGGCTTGTGTAGATTCTCGAATTGTCGAAACTCCTCAGCAATATGTTCGGGTACCTCATTTTCTTCTTCATATTCCTCACACTCATCATCACCTGCCTCATTTTGTTCACTCGGTTCATGACATGACATGACACTGGCAGGTTTAAAATTACTATTACTAAAATCATAAACAAACAAAGTTAGGAAAGTAAAATATAAACAGATAAGTAAACAAACAAATTTTGATAAAATAGGATTTTCATTTATTGAAAGACAAGCACAAACTTTGGCCATGACCGAGGGCCATTTTGCCTTTTTAAACATCACAAGGGAATTTAAAAGCTTCAAACAAATAACAATTGCATAAAAGGTGGGTCTCGGGCCTCTTCCGGACGACCACCAATTTTAAAACAAATAAAGACACGTGTCTTTTCTACCCAGATGAGCGGGAAATCAGGAGTGGTGTGGAGGTCCAATTCTGCAATTGCTCTTCAGGTTCTGCATCACGGATGCCTGATGTCCCAGCTTCTTCTTCGATGACCGCATCAATCTCCTCAAAAAGGCCCAAGATTCCTTTACCGAGACCATCATCATTGACATATCCTCGCATCGGGAATGACTGGTACAGATGAGGAATTGGCATGGCCAACACTTGATCAACAATCTTGTTCTTCATTTCTGCTTCATCACCTATTGGGACATATACCAAACCAAACTTTGCTCCTTTAGCGGGAATTCGGATAGGCTCGACGATTCCTTGGAAATGCTTCCCCAATCCAAAACCTGGTTCGAAATCATTCTGGAGCATAACAATAGCAATCATCTTGTACACAACAGGCATAAGAGGTTGTGGAGCCAAGTCATCACCGGTGGCATTTACCAGCTCCACCGTGTAGAAATCACAACCTCGAGAGCATCATCAACGATCGGTGCATACCCATTGGAATGACTCCCTTCATCATAAATGACCAATTCCTTGTCCTTCCAAACAAACTTCATTAGTTGTTGAAGGGTAGAAGACACAATCCCAGCCATATGAATAAACGGTCTTCCCGGAAGCAAGTTGTAACTAGTGTTGATATCTAACACCTGAAACTCCACATTAAAATCCGCAGGACCCACCTGAATATCCAAGTTTACTGCACCCAATGTGTCTCTTTGCACTCCATCAAAGGCCCTCACATTGACTTGGTTCTGGTGAAGCTTTCCCAAGACGAATTTCAGCTGCCTCAGAGTTGAAAGTGGGCAAATATTAAGACCAGATCCGTCATCGACCAAGACGCGATTAATTATCTTATCTTGACACATACAGGTGACGTGCAAAGCTTTGTTGTGCATCCTCCCTTCAAAGGGAAACTCTTCGTCACAAAAACTGATTCGGTGTCCTCGGATGACCTGGTTTATCATGGCTGCTAAATTATCACTGTTAGTACCCACAGGCACATAAGTGTCATCCAAAGCCCTCATCAGAGCCTGCCTATGTAATTGTGAACTCATAAATAAGGCCCACACAGATATCTGAGCCGGCGTCTTCTCCAAATGCTTCACAATCGAATAATCTTTCTGCTGCATTTTTCTCCAGAACTCCTCGGCCTCGGCTTCACTGATCGGCCTCTTTGTTTGGTCCTTCTTCTTCCCTTCTTGAGCTAACTCTTTCGGTCTGTAGCACGTGCCGGATCAGGTCATACCTTGGATAACAGTTGTTTCAATCACAAACTTTGGTCGGGTAAGAGTTTCTCGCGGTACCAAGGCAACAACCTTCTCGGGTGTTAGAATCACAAACTCTTTTTTTTATGCTCAACGAAGCTACAACCTTTTCCAGTTCATCAGGAGCAATCGGAACTATTGCCTTTGTCACGCACCAGTCATCATCTGTCTCTATCATATTGATAATGGCGCCTCCATGATTTGGCAAACGATTACTATTGACATTGGGCTCAACCGTCTGAAAAGAGACCACATTCTGGTCAATTAGGTCTTGGATCTTATGCTTCAGGTTGATACAGTCCTCGGTATCATGCCCAACAATGTTGGAGTGATACGCGCACCTCTGATCAGGTCTGTAAAACTTTTAGCTAGTGTCAACCGGCTTGGGCCCCACCGGATTGATATATCCTGCTGCAGTTAGTCGCTCGAACAGCTTTGTTCGACTTTCAATAAGCGGAGTGAAAATTCTAGCAGGCTTCTTCTCAAATCTAGGACGGGGGGGATCATAATTTCCTTATTGAGGGGGAGGCATTTGGCGATAATTTGGAGCATTCGGACGGGGGGCTTGATATCTGGGATATGAGTTGGTTTGGTAGTTTGGTTGTGGAGCTTGGTAGTTCAAGGGGGTATTTTGGTAAAGTGAAGCTGGGGTTTGGTACATTGGGAGAGGAGTTTGGTAATTCGTCTGAACGTTGGCACAGTTGGAGACGACATTTCGGTAGTGATGAGATGGAGTCTGGTAAACTGGAGGGGGAGTTTGGTAGATAGTAGGTGAAGTTTGGTAATTAGAAGGGGGTGTATTTTGATAGTTGGGAAGAAGGGTATTTTGGTAACTGGTGGGAGAGGTATTTTGGTAATCAGCTTGTGCATAACAAGCCGGGTACGAACTCTGTGAAAGTCGAGAACGACCTTGGTATGATGCTGACTTCTTCGGGGTCTTCCTCCCCTCATAAAAGATAGAGGACACATCCTCTCTTTTCTTCTTCAACAAGCCCGAAGATCCGGGAGAGGCAGCAGCATGGACAATCTTCCCGGTTCTCAATCCATCCTCGATAGTTTCACCTACCTTGACTATCTCAGCAAATTTTGCTCCAACGAGCAACATAATTCTGTCATAGTATTCGGGCTCCTGCACCCGCACAAACACTTCGACAATTTCTTTTTCTGACATAAGAGGTCTAACTCTAGTTGCCTCCTTTCGCCATCTATATGTGAATTCTATGTAGCTTTCGGTCGGCTTCTGCTTCATCTTCTCCAAGGAGTAACAATCAGGAACGATCTCCACATTGTAGGCGAATCGTTCGACGAAGTCCTTAGCCAAAGCGTTCCAACTAGACCACTGTTTGGTTTCATGAGACGTAAACCATTCTAGAGGCTCTCCGCTCAAACTTCAGCTAAAAAGCCGCATTAACAAAGCTTCGTCTCTTCCAACTCCCACGAGTTGGTCACAGTAGGCCCTCAAGTGTGCTAAGGGGTTCCCCGTTCCTCCGAAGATGTCAAATATTGGCACCTTGAACCCTTTCGGGAGGTCCAAATTCGGGTGAATGCACAGGTCTTCATAACTCAACCCGGCGACCTCAGGATTGCAGTTCAACTCCTTCATGGCTTTTCTAATTTCCTCCTTCATA